AGGGGAGGGGAGGGGAGGGGAGGGGAGGGGAGGGGGAAGAGAAACCGTGGGCTTTTCACATTGTTGGCAAACATGAAATGATCCAGTGGTCACAGTAGATACTCAGGAAATGTCTGTATAATGGAAATGCTCAAAGAGATCCTAAAGATGGAAAAGTAGAAATAGGGAAATATCCTGACATACTTTAAGACAAAACCATTTCTTGGGTTTTAGAGCGTGGACCTACAGGACCACACCATGTAAAAAACCCAGACACTGTGTACACATCCTTCTGTGGGGTGACCACCAATCCATAAAAAAGTAAAGTCACAACAAGACTATCATTTCCCAATGGCATCTTGTTTATCTGCTTTCCAGGTGGTAACACTAGCACCGAGCTACCTGAGTATGACTACATTCACAGGTTTTTACTAAAACTTCTTTATTTTACGTATTTCCAAAACCCAAGAATGCTAAATAAACATTTTTACTGAAAAAATTGTATATATTTATGGTACAGAAGATATATGAAATACGTATACATCATGGAATGGCTAAAGGGAGTAAGTTAACAAAGAAATTACCTCACATACTTATTTTTGTGGTAAGTACACTTAAAATCTACTAATGGTTTTTAATTTAATTGTTATCCCTAATTTTACTTGGCTACATAAAAAATAGTTCAACTAATTATGGGTTATTTCTATATTAACCACAGGCAGATTTTAGACATACAGCCTAATAGATATACTACTGAGAAAATAACCAAAACTTAAGGTAAATTTTAAGTGAAAACCATTAGGCTTGCCAGCTCCTAGGTAACTCAGAAGATTAGTTCTAATCTAATAGGACAAATCACAGAAGTTCTATTGCAACAGGAAGACTACATTTCCTAAGCTGCATCCACGGAGGAGACAGTGCCGGGAATCATTTAAAGAACTCCAGTGGTTTAGAAAAGCCGCTGAATTGTTACTGCTATTCCTTTGCCAAACCACGAGGGCAAACGTCCCGAAATAACTCTAAAAAAACACTTCAAAAATAACCAAGACATAAGAACATGATTCATAATCAACCGGAGTCTCGCTTTCCAAGTTTTTCAAACACTTTTACTTGCAAAGTTTCCTGTCAAGTTTTCAAACTTGCTTTTTAAGCTTTCTTCTGAAGGGCAATTCCCAACAGGAAATATCTGCGACTCTGAATGAGTAGCACAAAGCAAACTCAGGAAAGAACTCTATGGGCCATCAATCACATTTGGGACATTGCCTTGTTCTTTCTTTTTGGGTCACCTGGCAGATCTGGGTTCAGAGAAAGTATAAGCACTACATCGTTTTGAGGCACACCCTTCACAGAGCATGTATCAGTTGCAGAAGAAACAAAGGAAGGATTTCTCTGACAGTTTCTTCCACAATGCTAGCGTTATGCAGCTCTGTCCACTCACTACTTCTTCCCTGCTTTTCCATCATGGATGGAACAGCAAATAATAAAATGCAAAAGAGAAAGAGAAGAAAGCAATGAATGCTGAATGTCAGAATAGTTCAAAGACAGAATGCATGGCACTCTTCTAGTTTCATGCTCAAAGTCCCAAATTTGAGACCGTGTCTCAGTTCTAGACAAGGCCGAAAGATTGGCCAATGAAAAGTTATTCTTAAAAGGTAAAACATGAGGGCTGGAGAGATGGCTCAGAAGTTAAGAGCACTGGCTGCTCTTTCAGAGGACCCGGGTTCAATTCCCAGCACCCATATGGCAGCTCACAACTGTCTGTAACTCCAGTTCCAGGGGATCTGAAATCTCCACACCAATGCACATAAAATAAAAATAAATTAATTTTTAAAAATTACAAAATTTAAAAAAGGTAAAACATGAATCTACAAAAAGAATATATGAGAACAACAGATAAACTCAAAAGGAGCAGAAAACCAGGCATAGTTGTACTTCCCTATAATCCCAAACTCAGGAAGCTAAAGCATTAGGGGTTCACAGTCAGTATGGACAACAGTGAAATCCTGTGCATAAATAAATTAAAGCTGGGCGGTGGTGGCACACGCCTTTAATCCCAGCACTCGGGAGGCAAAGGCAGGCGGATCTCTGTGAGTTCTAGGCCAGCCTGGGCTACAGAGTGAGTTCCAGGAAAAGCACCAAAACTACTCAGAGAAACCCTGTCTCAAAACACACACACACACACACACACACACACACACACACACACACACACACTTAATTAATTAATGCATAGAAGGGGAAATGATGGAAAGACTAAGCTTTGTTATTGAAGGGAGAAAAATTAAAACAGAAGAGTGGACACTAACATGGAAGACAGATAGAAGAACTAAGAAAACTGAATTGTTTCAGTGTTTTGATATCAGAATAATAAAGGAGCAGAAAACGTAGAAATGGCATCAAGAATACAGGGGACTTTGCAGGTTAGTTTTCAGGAAATGGCTTGTCCCTGGATAGCCCTCGGGCCCAGTCTTAGAAGGGCTGTGAGGAACTTAACTATACTTCAGATTTTTCACCCGGGTCTTAAGTGTTCCAGGTTGTTCTTAGCTCTCTACCTGTTTCAGGTATTCACAAACTCTGAAGCCAGTATCAGAGACTCCTCAGCAATTCTAACACGTTTAGGCACCTCTGTCCCAGACACATCTATGCAGGGAGCTGAGGCTGGCCAAGTGGGAAGCATGGCGTCACGGGGGAATCACGACAATGAAAATGAATGGTAGAAACAGAAAGGAACAAGCACCACTAACTGTCACACCGGAGTCTAAGGCTGGTAAAGCCATTTGGAACTTTGGAATGGACCACGGGGAAGACAGGCAGCTCTGGAAAGACTTCTGCTTAGCTCTCATCCCTGGAGTCTTCACTCCAGTAGATAGGAACAATGTGCTTATGTGCCTCTAGAACACAGGATATGCTCAACAATGAGAATCTCCAGTTCCAAACTAAATGGAAGGATATTTGTATTAGGTGCACATGGAGCAAACGGTCTCAACCAAAGAGGGAAATGTGAGGGTGAGGAGACAGCCCCGTCAGTAAAAGCCTGCTGTGTGAGTATGAAGACTGAACTCAGTCTCCAGCACCCATTGAGAACAGGGCACAGCAGTGGCATGCATCTGCAACCCAGCTTGGGGAGGGGAACACTGGAGAACCAGGCAGATGGGTACATTCAATGGCTTGGCAAATTCAGTCAAACAGATGGACTCCAGGTTCAGTGAGGAAATGTTATCTCAAAAAAACAGGAGAGAGTAATCAAAAGTAGACCTCTGTCATGTGCATGCATGTACACACACACACACACACACACACACACACACACTCAGATATATACAACATAAATTTCACTCCAAAAAGTCCAATGTATTTTTTTAAGTCAGGCTGTTACTTCATATCAGTAGATTCCACAAACATGTAAGAATAAGTCTATAGCCTCCTGAAAGAGAAGAGTCTCTGAGCCATCTACAGTCACAATCAATACTTTTAGTTTTGTAGGGTTTTTGTTGTTGTTGTTGCTGTTTGGTTTCTGTTTTGTTTTGTTTTTGAAGTAGAATTGCACTGTGTAGCCTACAGTGGCCTGAAACTCAAGATCCCCTGCCTCAGCCTCTTGAGTGTTAGGATTGCAAGCACGTGGCACCATATTCACCTAAACAGTCACAATTCCACAAGTGTCTTATAGCAGCATTGGTTCCAGCATGCAAAACTGAACCATCACCATATTCTGTATTACTATAGTATTTATCCCTACAGGTTTTTATTAAACACAGAAATAGTACAGATTAATTTGAGTTTGAGTATGGTTCTTTAAATACTCACTTCTCAGCTGTCTCTTTATTTCTTTTGCTGGATCTAGCCAGTTCTGCAGGAGGAAAGAAAAAATTAGTTATCCATAAGAACTATCCCCCAAACCAAATGGAACAGTTTGTAATTCATAACTTACATCTCATAAAGTCCACTTTAAGTAGTTTTCACCTATTAGTATACTGGGATTGTGTGTGTGTGTGTGTGTATTGTGTGCACACGACTGTGCAAGCCCATGTGTGTAATAAAATGCGTGATTTCTTTAAGGTAAATTTCATGCATTTCATTTTCTTGGAATATGATCCAAATATTTATCTAATGATAAGGTACAATTTACCTATATAATCTTTACTACAGAGAGCTGCTCACAAATCACTCTCAGACACTGAAATAATCAGCTGTTCACAGTTCACTTTTACTTAAGAAGGATACCTTTGGGTTGGGAACTGCTGGCTCAGAGTGTACATGCCCTGATCCAAAGCAGTCATTTCAACCTCTAGAGCCAATGTCTTCACATCCCCCCACCCCCACCCCCGCCTCCTTAGCCTCCTGCCACGACAGCTCTTCCATGCTAGGGAACGATAACACCAGATTAGTGACAGTGTTTTCCTTCCTGGTCTTAACATCCTTTCTTCCTTTTCTCCTTTCTTCTTCATTTGAAGTTAGAAAACACAATTCTAAGCAAGGAACATCCTTCCATTTGCCTCTCATTTCTCTTTTTTGAGAAGGCTAACAGAAAAAAAAATTGGGTTTTTTTTTTTATTAGTCTTTTAAAGAAAAAAAAAACACCAATTCTGAACCACCTAATGATCGTAAATCTTTCAAACTGTAAAGCAAACAGTTCCCACAAATTTTCAAAAATTTGTACTTGTATTTTTTCCACCCTACTGTTAAGCCATAAGAAATTCACTCACCTCCTAATGCAGAACACATACATCTTTTGAAATCCAACACACTGACTCAAACAACTGACTGTACAGCAAGTCAGTCTGGTTTTTAACAAGTATCTCAAATAATGTATTATAACACCTGCATTTAAATACAATTTATTCCCATGCAGGAAGAATAAAGTGTGTGTTGTTACATGGGAAGTAATTATCTATCAATTCTTTGAAATGATGCAACAGAACATGACAAACACTAAAAAGTATTAACAACAGCACCCTGTGAAAGCAGCCCTCAGATTTTACTACACCATCCACAGCCTCAACTCCGGCAGCAAGGGTCCAAGGTATATGTGTCTCTGTCCTAACACTGGTCACATTCAAAGCTCTCATTAAAGAGCCTCCAGAGCATGGTCCAGTTTCATTGTTCCTGGTGTCCCAGCTGCATGGTGCAGTGATGTGAGGGGCCAGTGGGACCCTGCACCTCTAGTGCCATGGTAGGAAGCAGCTCTATTTTCGCCACTTAGAAAAAAGTACAGCATTCAGCTTCCTCACCCTGCAGCTGCTGTCTTACACATAGTTGGCTCACAAATGGCAACTATGTTAAGTGCACAAGACCAAGAAAAGCCCATCATTCAGCTTCTAGCCCAGGCTGAACTGAGGCTGGGGAGAGATGAAGGAGGGTTCAATGTGTGGGGCTGAAAACAAGCAAGTCACAACCACACAAAGAAAAATGGAGTCAGAGACTACTAGTGCGGACCCAAATGACAACATCCCTCACATCACCAGCACAGAGAAAACATTAAGGGAGCACTTGCTGGTCTCAGAGACAGAGCTCCCAAACCTCAGTCTCCTTAAGGAAAAGCTCACACAGATGCCTGAGAAAGAGAAGCCCAAGGTGCCCGTTTTCCAGGAATGCAGGGTGGAAAGCAACGTCCTCTTCTGTAACCCCAGAGAGTGACCCCAGGTCCCAGCTACCACACCTTCCATCCCACCTGAAGCACTAATCCCTCCAAATCACCTGATCATAGTGAGCAGAGAGAGAAGTTTGCAGACCTAGACATTCACGGGTGACTAGCTGGCAAGACGAACTGAGACTGTCACCCTTAGGCCACTTCCCACAACACTGCCTGCCAAGACACAGTGAAGGCTGCTGGGGCTTCTCATGCCAGATCTGTTCTGGTTTGCTTTTCTGTTGCTAAGCTAAAAACATTGACAAAAGCAGCTTGGGGGAGGCAAGTGTTTACATGGTTTTCACTTATAAAGTCATAATCCATCATTGAGGGAAGTCAGAGCAGGAACTCAAGCAAGACCCAAAGCAGAGACCATGGAGCAATACTGCTTATGGCTTGCTCTCTGGCTCTCTCATTGGTTTATTCTCAGCTAGCTTTCTTAAATAGCTCACACCTCCTGCCCACAGTGGGTTGGGCCTTCCCTTGTCAACCATCAATCAAGACAAAAAGACAAGACTAATGGCCATGGGCCATTCTGATCTTGGCAGTTCAACTGAGGTTCCCTCTTCCCAAGTGACTCTAGGTTGTATCAAAATGGCAATAAAAACTACCCAGTACTTCAAGATCCTTACCAGGAAACCACAGGGCGGTTTCCACGGTAGGACGAAGCATCAGAAGTCACTCTTTCCATGTGCCTACCTGGTTTCCTTTCCTAACCACACTGACTTCCACTCTGCGAGCTCCATTCCTCCCAAGGAGGCAGGTCTTGTCCACTCTCTGAGAATACAGCTGTGCACAGGCATGAATAGGCATTTTTAGGTAATTAACATTAGCTATTAAAAAATCAATACCTGTTTACTGTTACCTGTCCAATTCCACTTCCTTCCTATCCATGATGTAGTCATCATAAATGATTACACATTTTTTTTTGAATAGTTATCTTTGCAGGGTGGTGGTGGTGCACGCCTTTAAACCCAGCACTTGGGAGGCAGAGCCAGATAAATCTCTATGAGTTTGAGGCCAGCCTGGTCTACAGAGCGAGATCCAGGACAGGCACCAAAACTACACAGAGAAACCCTATCTCTAAAAAAACAAAACAAAACAAAACAAACCAGTTATCTTTGAGTACTTAGATTATGACTGTATATAATTTGTCTAGTATCATAAAATTCTCAAGCAAAAATTAAAAATGTTTTAGTACAACATCATAATGAAACCTAAGTATTTCTCTGGATTACTAATTACACATAAATAAGCATAAACCACTTTTGCTGTTTTGTTTTGATTCTTAAGGCAGAGTCTCACTATATAGTACAAGTTGGTCTTGGACCTCCCAGCCTTCCTGCTTCACCTTCCCAAGTGCTGGGAAATTACATGTGTGTACCACCCACCATACTTAGCAAACAAAAAATAACATCGTAAAAATCAATTTCTCTGGATTGAAAAAGATGAACGACACATAAGACACATCAAAAACATGGAAAATGGCATCAGTGAATAAAGGTTAAAGATGGTGGCAAGCGGACACACTGAAGAACACCAGCGTAAACATGCACGCTCTCCCTCAGGAAACATTAGGATGTATCCTTACTGTGTGAAAGCCTTGGCTAACGTAACCACAAACACAGACTTTGGGCTTAGAAATATGTGGAGTCAAACTCCCACTTACCACCAATTCTATGTCTTAAGAACATTTCTTGTCCCCAGGAAGTCTTAATTTCCTCCACAGCAAACTAGAACGCACAACATCCACCTGACTAAAACAAAAGCCTACTACTTTCCAGTCTCATACTACTCTTCAGGCTGGATCTGAAGATCTCAGAGTTTGATTCCCTCACTCCCAACCGAAGTTTGCCTATGTCTTCATTATTTTCAGGAAGCCTCAGGTTGGCCAGGTATGAGAATTTAACCATTTCAAACAAATCCACCATGTAGTAGCAAACGATGAAAGGCTGAGAGTAGTTTTGTCTTAAATCTCCACTCTTCTACAAGAATATATAATGCTGAACGAGATGCCCTTTACTATACACATTTAACCAACAAAAGTCTACAGAAATGCTGGTGCCAACAGGAAAGTTACAGGCTTTCCATGCCACAGTAACACTTACTACACATCTAGAGAATGGACAACTATAAAGTTTAAATGAAATGAATAGAGAATCTTGGTAAAAGTTAGTTTATATGTGCAAAGAGTTAACTATGAGCTTTTAGTTCTGCTTCTGGGAAGATGTACTCTGGCTATTAGACAATGCTTTAATCTGCATAAACCAAGTTTGGGTATCAACTACACTTCTAACAAGTACTTCTTGAAATATGACATAACAAAATGACTTATATAATGCCTGGGCCAAAAGCTGAACTCTACTAACAACAAAAATTTAATACTACTTTTCTCTTTAAAGAGAGTTAAGTAACTTTAATGATGAATTCACTTGAATACCAAAACTACATAGACTTGTAATTCCGTATAAAAGAATAACAAGTTGCTTGATTCTCTATACCTTTAACATTTTCTATAGCAAAATTTATGAGACTTTTCAACAGACGCTGAACAGTTGAACACTAACAATGTCACAATTTCATAATCAAAATGAACTGAAAGGCTTCCAACTCAGTGTCACAACTGAGAGATACAATATTACACTAAAACCAAAGACAGTTTAGATTTTTCCCTCATGACAAACTGTTATATAAAATATTTACAGCCCTGCCTGACTTCCACTTTACAAAAGGCTGAAGTAAGCACCTGGAACTTCTTTAAAACCACGTAACACTTACCAAGAGAGGGAACCTGAGAGCTGGGAGTCTAGCAAAGTGGTCAGGCATGGGCTTGGTGCACACACAACAAAGAAACACACACCCCTACCTCCTACAACGCAAACCCCAAGAACGTCAAAGTACGACTGACGAAGTTAACTAATATAACCATAATAATTTTCTGCAAAAAAACAAAAAAAAAATCATATACATTTATACTGGGGAGAAGGAAAGTTCTTTAAATGAATTTGAGGACTGGATTTTGCCTATACATATTGTTATATATAAACAGTAAGGCATCTAAAAAGCTATGTAATATGAAACTTATAGTCACATAAATATGTAATTTATTATACTCAACTATAATTGAGCATTCATGTCCTGAAAAGTGGGTGCATCATGAAGGACACCTCTCTGTATGTTCTTGAAGCTTTAGTTAAAGCTTTAGTACTAAAAGAGTGTTCATCTAATTTTACAGGCATTTTCATCTGACATTTCATAGGAAAACACTAACCACAAAGTTAAATGAGGAATGCTGGACTCCTCTCCATCACTGGCATCTTTCTCTCAATGAGGATGCTCCAGTAAGCCCACCACAGGCCAGCCTTACATACTCTTAGAGGGAAGAGGCCAAACTGTCCACCTCAGAGCTATACCCCAGCCCCCTTCTTATCTCATTATCCTCCATAACAGCTCTCCCCTCCCAGACCTTGGCCATCATCCTCTTCCACAGTCAAACCCTGGATCTTGTCCCTGCATGGCTCTCCATCTCGCTAGACTTCATCATCCGACTTTCAGATACAATCAGAGTCCTGAGGAGAAAACCTAGAGTACAAATAAGGTTTGTACTCGGTATGTTGATAACGGAGGATGGCAGGAGGCAGCCCACCCCAGGGGAGAGGGAACTCTCACAGTAGGACATTTAGGTAGCTCTTAGAAAAGGCAGGTATTCGAATACTAAAAGGAAGAAATTGCCAATGCAGCATCCTATGTGTGAGCAGAGAGATAGACTGGCAAGGCCCACTCGGGAGGCGGACTCGGGCATGCACTGAATGTCAGCCACTGTGAGACGGCACTAAGAAGGGGAGGAAGCTCCTGCCACAAGATGCAGGAAATTCAACTGGAAGCAGGAGACAGCTCTAAAATAAGGGAAGCCCAGACACCTGGCTATTCGCAGTGGGAAGGAGAAATAAGAGTCCAGAACAAGCCTTCAGGGACAGGTGGCATTTAAGGGGAAGATAAAGTTGGCTTTTAGAACAGGAGTGTTCCGAAGACAGCTGGGTATATGGATCAGAAGTTCAGGTGTTAGATATAGACTAGACACGTCTATTAAAAGTTTAAATAAAAAATAGTAATTCCTACTAGGTACTATCTTGTTCAAAAGGCATGTTCCAGAAATAATTTCCTAATGTTGTTTATCTTGTTTGTACTAACAAACCATTTACAACATACTAAACTGTATTTATATTTTACAAAAATTACACATTCTTATGAATCTACCAATAGACAATTCAAGAAAAAGATATAACTGCCAAGTTCCCAGCACTTTCTCTTTTGGAGCTTTGAAGAGCAACAGACAAGCACATGATTGGAACCATTACCAAGACCAACTTGTAATTTACTGCCTTAAAAGGCACTTAGCTTATTTAGTGAAGTATGTTATTACTTCTGAGGAGAGTATTCTAAACAGTTCTAATAAAAACACATACTATTCAACAAGCAGGCATGCAATTTGTCTTTAGTCTAAAGGTAGAATTAAACCACAAATTACATATCAGGGATTTAAAACTGAGCAAGTTGAGAAAATTTAATTTGCATATAATTATCATACTTAAAACTAAAACCCTTTATTTCATTACTGAGATATGTAAATACAAACAATGATACTGTGCAGGCAAATTACAAAATGCACACTATGCTTCCTCTAATGGCCACTGTGTTCTATTGACTGAGATATGAATGCCTGACGTTAGACAGAACCCTCTTTCACTGTAACTGAGTGCCTATACATCCTAACGCAGAATGCTCCACAGCAACAACCTATCAGACTGAACAGGCTTCCTCTGTAGGGTACAACTCTGGACAAACTTACATTCTTCACCCCCACGTCAGCACCTTCTCACCATGCCAATTCTAGACACTGTGGAAGTGAAGCACGAGAGGAAAGCCCTTCCCTAATAACGCCGACAACTACAGCTAGCCCTTGTCCTGCCAGAAGGGTTAACATTTCCGTCCTTAGTTAACCTGGGAAACTGAAAATCTCTTCAGTTCAATGAAACTAGTATGAGCTTCAGATCACAGACCACCCTATGCTCTTGCTTAACGTTCTAGAAAAACTTAAGAGTAGCCATGTTCTCAGCACACTCTTTAACATTGGGTAGATGTACTACTAGGGTCAATCCCGCACTGGTTGGTCAAACATACCTAACCCAAGAGTGCTGGTCCAACAGCCTCTTTTGCCCCCAACAGCCCAACTCAAAGATATGAGTACCTTTGCCACACAAAGCCATTAAAGTCCATAAGCAAGACAAACACTTCCTCCAAGTATCTAAGCAAGGCTCATGGACTCCCGACACTTCCCTATTGCTCAGGCTTATTCAATAACTAACTACCACACAAGTGATTGCACATCTGTATGTTGGCAAAATGAGTCTACTTGGCTGGCCTCTGTATTTAGCACCATGAGGCAAAATTGGGATATGACTTAGATAATATGCCGGGCGGTGGTGGCGCACGCCTTTAATCCCAGCACTCGGGAGGCAGAGCCAGGCGGATCTCTGTGAGTTC